GTCCACAGCTGAATCTTTACCCACTCCACCTGTTAGCATACAGTCCACCAAGCGCGAACGAGAGAGAGAAGTTACACCTGCCGGAAGCACTGTTAGTTCGCTGAGTGATTTGGGATCGAGGAGTACACCGAGTTTGAATGGGGGATCGCCAATGCGGGGGACGGCTTTTGCGGCGTTGAATGGAAATGCGAGTGCGGATAAGATGCCGCCGGCGAAGAAACCGAAATTGTCGTTTGCGGAGAAGGAGGCGAGGGCGATTGAGAAGAGGTTTAAGGAGGAGGAGAGGAAGATGGAGAGGGAGAAGAAGGAACATGAGAAACAGGCACAGTTGGAAGAGAAGAGGAAGAAGGATAAGGAGAGAGATGAAGAGAAGAGGAAAAAGGAGGCGGAGAAGGAAGAGGAGAAGAAACGAAAAGAGGCTGAGAAAGAGGCTGAGAGAAAGAGAAAAGATGAAGAAAAGGCTGCGAGGGAGGAAAAGAAAAGATTAAAGGATAAGGAAAAGCGTAAGAAGGATGAAGAAAAACAGAGAATTGAGGATGAGAAGAAAAAGAAGGCGGCGAGTCAAAAGACTTTATCTTCATTTTTTGGAACACCAGTTTCAGCAAAGACTTCAAAGGATGATGTATCGACAAGTCCTGCTTCAGCAAGTCGTTCTATGGCTCCAATTCCTATGGCCTCGACGACTTTGACTCCGAGTAAGAAGGAAATCTCACCGTATGATAAAATGTTTCCGGCTTTCTTCGTTCAGAATGGTGTTAGGTTGGCACCCATCAATCATTTCGCGGGAGATGATAAAAGATCACAAATTATACAGTCTACGATTGATGCATACATATTAGGTAATCGAAGTCCAGGAAGAAAACGAGAGTTTGATGCCATAGAACTTTTCCCTCTATCATCAAGCAGTTCTTTAAAGCGAGGAAAATCAATCGTGCCAGTACGCGAAATCATGGCGGAACTATCTGGTAACCCTACCAAACCTATCGACCTCACAGCAGACTCACAAAATTCTCAAATCAAACGTACCAAAGCTCAACTCAAGGATGTTCCTATGAAATTTCTCAAATTCCAAGAAGATGTCAGACCTCCATATCAAGGTACATATACACATATACCTGTAAATGGTATATCGAAATTAGCACGCAATCCTATGAGAAGGGATCTTCCGAATACGAATTACGATTATGATAGTGAAGCGGAATGGATTGAGGATGAAGATGCGGAAGATTTGAATAGTGAGGGAGAAGAAGATGAAGAAGGTCTTGACGATGCGGAGGATATGGATGGATTTCTTGATGATGAGAATGATGATCTATTGATCTCGAGACGTGCAATGGGTGGTATGCAGGGAGATTTAGAACCTGTGAGTACGGGATTATGTTGGGAGGATAGGAAGAAGAGGAGTACGAATGTTAAGATGATGCCGTTTAGGATGGAATTTATTCTTGGTAAGTTTTTTGCATAGAACTCCCCTGCCACTTATCTTTCTTGTCTCGATGAATACCTGAGATAGCTACTAACGTCAAACAGATTCAAAAATGAAATCTATAGATCCTTTCTCAACACAATATTGGGAACCAATTGTACCTCCACCCCAAACAGGATCAATGGACCCTCCACGTCTCCCATTAAAATCAACAAGTACCAACACTCGCCAAACTTCCCCTTCACCTCTAGGTTCCACATCCAACAACAAAGTCTCAAATCCCAATCACAAATCTACACCGCTATCTTTCTTCGGCACTCCAACCTCTTCCTCCATAACTACATCTCTCCCAATCCATCAAGGTCAAGGTCAAGAAGCAAAGACCGACTCTAAACCTAAAAAATATCTCCCAGACTCGGATCTCCCAGCGTTCAAAGAAGCAATTCAGGGAAGTGATTTGAGTAAAGTGGGGTTGGTAGAGGTGTTGAAGAAGAAGTTTCCGGGGAGGACGGGAGGCGCGATTAAGGCGACGTTGGATTTGGTGGCGAGGAGGGTGGGGGGGAAGGAGGCGGAGAAGAGGTGGGTTTTGGTATAGGGGAGGGGTGAGGGGAGGAGGTGAGTGAAGATGAGGTGGAGAGGGTGTATGGATGAGATGAGGGGACGGGTGATGTGACGGAGTATAAGAAGGGGCTAGCTAGAGCAATATGATGGCATGGCAAGGCATGGCACGGAACGAAATGGAGGAGTCTTGGCGCAATACATAGAGAGCTCATACTGGCTGGCTGGCTACATTCTTGCTATCATCTTGCTATGTGTATGTTTTGGGACTGCATAGGATGGGATGGGATGAAATGAAATGGGGTCGGATAGAATGCAATGCAATGATCAGATACATATTGATGGGTTGCTAGGTGCATCTGTATAGTGTATATATGATGTGGAATTGTAGTTGACTTTGCTTTGCTTGTTATGTGTTCGTGAGTGAGTCATTTGCTTGCTTGTTTATTCTTTTTGTTATTGGGTTATTTATTCAGTGATTTATTCAGTGATTTCTGAGAATAGAAGAGGAAAGGAAAGAAAAGGAAAGGAAACGGGTGGATAGATGAGTGGATGAATGGACTGAGTGATAGCTGGGTATTAGGTAGATAGTAGATAATAGATAGTAACTATTAGATAGGAAATATTAGATAGGAAATAAATTATAGATTATAGATAATAGATAGTAGATAGAAAATAATCAATAGTAAATAGTAAGGGTGCGTTCGGATCACTTTTTTGAAATTATTAGAGCTTAATTATTAATCAATTTTATTTATCAAATAATCTAAATAACTTCAAATATTTTATTAGAGTATATATGCTGTTTAGATTAAAATAAATTATGTAAAATAAATTATGTAAAATATTACCTTAATATTTGAAATTTAATGAGTCATTAGAAATCCTAATAAATTTCAATTCTTAATATATTTAATTTGGTATAGTATTCAATAAATATCAATATATTTGAGTAATATTTAAATTATGTGTTATATATTTGTGATTATAATGAAGGAATAAAAAAAGGAATTAGATAATAAAAAATTTATAAAAGTGGTGTAGATGAAAATAGTCGGAAATATTAAAAAAGTTTCGAAATATTGTTTTTCTTTTAAATATTAATCGTAAAGCTCGAAAATCAAGCTTTATGACTATTGTATAGGAAAAGCTTAAAATATTTACGAAATAATTATTTGAATTTAAATAATTCTTAATAATTTATTTCATTATATATTGTATTCGATAAACACTATTATTTAACAAATAAATGAAATCAAATAATTTCAAATAATTTTTCAAATTCTTAAATCCGAAATAAATATTTCATTATATATTGTGTTCAGTAAACATATTATTTTATGTTATTTATTAAATAAATGTTACTTAATAATTAAAATAAAGTGATTCAAACGCACCCTAAATAGAAGATAGTGAATAGGATATTATAGAAAATAAATAATAGATAATAAATAGAAAATAGATTATAGATTATAAATAGTAAATAGAAGATAGTAAATAGTAACAAGTAGGTGGCTACTCGAAGGTGGGCGAGGAGATGCTAGTGTAGGGTATGTACTATATAAGATGTAGTTGGTAATCGGGAGGAGAGTGCTGGAAGTTGGGTGCTGAGTGCTGGATGCTGGGGGTAAATGAATGGATGAATGTAAAAGGTGAAGATGAAGATGAAATTCTTTTTCTAAGAGGAATCGGTGACATGGTGTGTGAGTGTGTGACCTAGTTAGTTAGCAAATGAGGTTTGTTTTTTAATATATAATATTTCAAAATCCTCTCTGGAAGTTGAAAGTTGAAAGTTGAAACTCGAGTATCGTGAGCTTTGGGGTTTGGGGGCTGCCCCTGATATTTATTTATTTATTTATTTATTTATATTTAAATTGGATTGGATTGGATTGAATTGGATTGATAGAATGATGAGAGATTTCTTTTTTTCTTAATGACTGAGTGTGAATGGGTTTGAGTTTGTAGTGACTTGTACTATAGGAATATTTTCCAAAGTGGGTGGATGGGGGGGTTATGTTTGATACTAGCAGTTTGGAATTGGGTGTGCAAATTAAATAGATGGATAGATAGCTAGCTGACGGGGTTGAAATTTGATATTGGAAATCGGATGTTGGAATAGATATTCCGGTTTTCTGTGGTGCCTGGAGAAAATTGAAAGCTTGGTGGGTGGGAGAGATGGAGTGGAGTGGAACTTTGCTGGATTGTATGATGTATATTGATACGAGGGTTTTGGTGTAGGTTTCTGGGAGTTGGATGGGTGGGCGGATGGGTGGATGGTTGGTTTATGAGTAAGGTATGGGGTTGGAGATTAGAAGGAGAGAGAGCGAGATAAGCTGGCGGGCTGGTGGGGTTGTTGAAGGTTAGTGGTGGAAGGGGGGGTGAGGTTGGGGTTGATAGTGTTATAGTATTATAATTTATGAATAATTTTTGGAATATATATATATTTTAAAATAAATAAACCTTCTATTCTTTTTTAACTTCAATAAAATATAGCGACTTTACTAGGTATATACTTATAAATGATTTCCTATAGAAAACAGAACACTAATCTTTTGGAGTTTTTTTACTAAGGATTAATAAGTAGGGTAGGTCAGGATAGAACATCCGGGACTCTTTTCATACGAGTGAATGTGATTCGATTATTGGTGCAGGATATGAATGTAGTTTACATGGGATTTCACTCGCTGTCACAACCTACTATGGCAACAGATTGTTATCTCAATGCAAGATATTAGTCTCTAGTCTATCTATCGTAGGACTATACGGCGCATCTGAACTATCTATCCAGAGTTCATATCTTCTAGAATCCCGTTAGAAAGCGAGGTTGTGAGTCATGTAGAAAATCTGGATTCTACAATTGGATGACTCTTCTTTGAGTAATCATGAATCTGATGTACGGATATCAAAAATTTACTATCTCGCTAGTTATAGTGGATGATGTATCTTGGAAAATGTAGAATTGAGAGATGGAGAGATTTGTTGCAGCTAGCTTGACTTTATGCAAGTACTCGCTTATTTATCTTGGCTTGTTTCTGTAGGGGAATTTCGCGGGATATTTGAGTGTGTTGTGCCTTCTGTGTAAATAGGTTTGTATGTTTTGTCGTGTCTGACGTGGTGTAAGTGACGAGTTGCATGTCGCATCGACAGCTCCTGAGTCGTGAATCGTACTCTCCTCTCGTTTTCTCTTCTTAGACAAATCCGAATCATCGTCTTCTGCGCTTCTCTCTCCTTCATTTATCGCAATCTCTGGTGAAGGGCTTGGAAGTTGACGCTCTGGATTGGGTATAAAATCGACACTATCTTCGGATGAATTTGACAATTCTTGTGGTATCGTGGGTGTTACTGGTGTGATTGGTGAGAATTGGACACCATCCACATTTGTGATCGATAATTTATTTCGGTTCCTTTCGTGGTTCTGTCCAATTACATGGCTGACGACATCACGGAATCGTTTTTTGGTCGAACTAGAAGTATTGATCCCATCCCAAAGGACTGTGGATGCCACAAAGTCTCCCCCACTGATAAGATTGGACAAATCCTTAGCAAGTTCTCTGACTATCTTGTTAGTGATTCCACCATTGAAGACGAATCGAAGATTCAAGGTCTCTTTTATCTCATCTATGTGTCCAGTGCTATTATCTCCTCGAACCCCAGGTTTTGATTGTTGATTGAGAGGAACAAGGACAATTTTCCTCAAAGACCCTATCGGACCTCGTTCTGTTAATCTTGGGGCCTGGGTATCAGGAAAGTTGGGTGCTCGGTAGATCTTTCGGATCAGTTCTTGCGTACTGAACCGCTTCCCGGGCTTGAAACGAACCAATTCTTTCAAAGCCCAGATGAGGGCGGCGGTGAAAGATTTAGGACCTGGCTTTCTCGTAGTTGAATTCTGAGAAGTTGCAGCCATGTATTCAAATGCTCTTCTGGTGAAGTCAGAGCCACGGACACTGCGATCCATTTCGCCGGCATTGCAGCAGTCAAATATAACAAGAACATCACTTTGAGTGTTTTGTATGTTGTGTTCCGCGGAGCTCCAAACAATCTCATGTAGCTCATTTTCTTCGTCTGGCTGAGTTGTTGATCTGATTGCGTGTTAGAAATGTCCATAAGTGGGGTAAGCTTTCTATATCTTACGGAGTCAAGGCTAATCCATCCCCATCGTCGCTAAGCTTGCCATGCCCTGCATAGTAGACAATAAGAAGAGTATTTTGATCATCATGATTGTGAACAAATTCGGCAAGATATAGGTTGATCTGAGCTTGCGGATGCCTCCTTGGATTCTGCTGTAGAATCTTTTGTGTCGTTTTATATTTGAAAATATCCCGAAATACATTCTCGAGATCCGCAACCTGCTAATATTAGCATCATTGAAGAGATACTCCCTCCTGATAAGTTATTACCTCTTGTTCTACGTGGAGATCATCATCTTTACGGTCCCATGACAACAAAAGAACATGTACTTCGCGGTATGCAATCGAAGCATTCTTTGCACTCATATGCTCATCGAAAATCGCCTTGAATTTGGAATCGGCCGATGCCTCTTTGTCTTGGTAGTTTGTTGGGGGAATAATGATGGTTGAAGCTATAGTTCTTTTGCCATCGTGGTCAGGTTTCAAAACGGAATTTGACTTGCTGGAGGCCATCCCGTAGTTGAGACACCGCAAGAAAGTCTAGCTCGCAATTTGGTAGCTTCGTAAGATAGATTCTTTTTGGTTGGAGTTTCGCAACGAACCAGCGGGGTCTCCTGAGAATCGCACTTATGTATGAGTTCACAATTCAATTGTGCTAAAAGCTGGAGGTACAAAAGATGAGAGATGATGTGGCTGAGCAGATTGAAGATAAGCCCCGCTGTGAATCCTTCGTTTTTTTGGTCAATCTATTGGTGACCACACTGGTCGTAAGCGTGTGACTGCTTGTAATCCATGTAATCATGTAGGTAATAGCAGATCGAGGCTCTGCAAAGCTTTAGAAAGGTTGATTTAAAGCTGTCTTCATAAGGCTTTCCTCTGGGCAGAGTCAATTCTCTTCAAATCAAACACTGGTAATTACTGTCTTCAATATATACCATCCCAAAGGAACAACGTATAAATCTGCCTTACACAATGTCGGAAGTAGTGCCAATTGAGACAGAGATTATGGTGAGTTCACAGCTTACACAAAACGAATTACTATTCTCACTGATTTTCAAAGAGACCACAAACGCCCGAGGACCGCTCGATTTATACAGAGTCTAGGAATCCCTCGGATGTCAGTATTCCTTGAAATTTCATTACGAATGGATAATTCTGATTATCAGACTAGTCAATTGCGTTGTTTAATGTAGAAGATAGTGCGTGGTTGAGCATTCCCAGAAAAGGGAATTTTGAATTCAAAATCTCTGCGAGAAAGCAAGACAAGGGAAAGTTCGTGTATCAGGTCAAGGACCCAAAGACTGGAGCACTGTATAAGGAAGGGGAATGGGTCAAACAGGAAAGGCTCAGTTCAGCTTGATTATGCGGCTTATGGTGGGGTTGGGATTTCATTGGTCGTACATTACAGGCTATACTTGCATAAGCTCTCATGCAACCCGCCATTTGTAGCTGTGTATCTAGGCTGAGTGCTTCTCGTAGGCATTTCAATCGCCCATTTCTTAAAATGAGAAAAATTATACAGTTTCAATTGAACAGTCGATATAAACTATATCATTCCGTTCAGCAGATGTTTTTAACTTCTTCGTTACTTCAGCAAAAATCCCAAAAATGACTTCAAACACGTTGCCATTGTTCAACTCCCCATGTGCTTCACCTACCATTTCTCAAAAATTCTCTGAAGGAATCACTTTTGCAACAAATTCATCTACTCCTACGTCCAGAAAGCTTTCTCAATATCGAGACTCGTTTGCTCAATGGCGCCCTTGGCGAATCTCAGAGCCTACTACTGATGAGAACTCGCGGAAACCCCACGTGAGAAGTTGTAAGTTTGTGTAGCAAAATGAACCATCGACTTCATTGGCCAATAACTTCTTTCATAGTGTCGGAACATCAAAAAAGCTACAGGTCTTTAAGTATATTTCTAGATAGCGATGATAACTTCAAAATCTATCGACGCTTCGGATATCTTCATTCGCGTTTACTTCTCCGTAAACAGGATGAAATTCGTCGACTGGAAATGGAGCTAGACGAACTTGATGATCTCGATGAAGCGGAAGACGCACCCGATAAACGACGGGCACGATCTAGAAATGCAGATATAGCAGCCGAGAGAAAGGAGCTCGCTGAAGATCCAACTCTTCGGACGAGGACTATAGTCTTGGACGAAATAGAAGAAAAGTTAGCTGCTTATGGTGAGCATTCCCAATTGACCACCAAAGATTTATGCACGGACTTATGTATATTAGACGAGCTACTACTCCGGTCTCAGCATGTGAATGCCATGAATCGTCCTGCTGGTAGTGATTATCGAAGCGTTGAGCGATACATTTTCGACAAGAAACCTCTCGTTGATGAGGAGCAAGGATTCATATACGAAAAGAATGATCTCATCACCTTGCGTGAAGGGAGAGAAGGAGCATATCTCGATACAATGACCGAAAGGTTTCTCCAAATCTTTCATTGCGCATTCTTACAAGTAAAATACTAACCTTCTTTCTGCAATAAATTCACGGGCTAACGATGAACAGTCAATTTTCTGCACCCAAGAAGACCGAGAAAAGACAACAGATCCAAATCTCCATTTCTATAGCAAGTCCCGAAAAGACATATTTGTGACTAGTCTTCTCGTACTCGTGTTACTCCTTCTTCTCGTTCTCCCGGTATTCCTCCTGTACCGGCTCACCGAGCATCATAACCTGGATATCACATATACAGTTAGTATTGGTGTACTACTTATTTTCACACTTTTGTTTTCTGCTGTTTTGTCTTTATTCACTCAGGCCAAAAGGCATGAAATATTTGGTGCCGCTGCTGGGTGAGTCTTCCTTGGTGATCTATTTGTACCCAGTCTAGGTGAAAAAGCTAACAAAACTAGATATTGTGCTGTATTGGTAGTATTTATTAGTAATATTCCGAACGCTAATTGATCATCGGGCTTTCGTTCGCTCAAAGTCACTTGACTGTATAATTTCTGTTTGTGAGAGAGGAGTGGGAAAGCATTGATTATCACAGGAGAATGTCGAAAAAATTTAAGCACGACGTATGCTGGTTTCAAGCAAATAATAAACTTAATTATTGCTTTACATTCTGCGATCTGAACGTTACTCTTCCAGGTATCTCATATACTTCAACTAAAAGGCTCCTTTCCCAGACTGTTTAATTCCCTCCAATTCTCTCAACCATCCCACTCTCCCTTCCGTAAACTGTTCTACCCCGGGTCTCAACTTCGTCTCATGAAGATGAAAATCATCCACAGTTCCAATTCTCAAAATACTCATTTTTGGAAACCTCGAGCCAACACGATACATGAGCGTACCACAAGTTCCACAAAAGTGATTGGCCATTGTCGATCCGGTCGCGATGGTCTTGGATTGACTGAAGACTTTCAAATTTTCACGGCCACGGACGTGTTTCAAGTGAGAATCAGCGATAGTGAAATTAGATGCGAACATCGACGCCGTGATTTTGCGACAGTCGTGGCAGTGGCAGACAAATGTACTAACTAGGCCAGGGCCTTGGGTTGGCTGCCGGGTAGAGTTAGTGTCAAAACACTGTATCTAGTTTTTCATTTTTGACTTACGAATGCAAGTTGCACAGCACCACAGAAACATGTTGCCGTTGCTTCATCTTCAATAGACCACCCGTCGTTTGCTCCGCCGGCGAGGGGGAAGTAAGGCTTGGATTTGTCTGTACCGGCGGTATCGGCCATTGCGATCAATTGCTTGGATTTCTTTGGATTAAGAGTGAGGAAGATCGATAACCAAGAGAAGATTAAATGTGATGATGGGTAGAATGTTTTGGGAATTGAGTGTGAAAGCATGATTTATATAGATAATTTGTCGAGGTAGATATCGACAAATCGTCCGTGCGCCCACTATTTCTAAATTATTAAGCTTTTTGTCTCGCTACCGGAATAGGAGATGTGGACTACCGCATTAGGAAAATGCCACTGAATTGCATGATCAAAGCGTCATAATCACAACAACCAAGATGGGATATCTGAATAAGCAAAAAGGCTTGATGCTGGAGCCGGGACAAAAAGCTTTTTAGCAAGGAAAATGTAAATGAACTCGAAGAGTGGGGAAGCAAATTGTTAGTGAGATTTATGCTGTCATGCCGGGCATTGATTTGTTTGGATATTTTGATAGCTATTAAAATTGGATTGCAAGCTAGAAGATGATGATAGCCAAGGTAGATCTTGTTTCGACTCTCTGCCTTGTATGTATAATAAGACACATATATCAACTACGCTATCTTCTTTGCACACGGCAATTGTACGAAACCTGTCATAATTCATGAGGGTTGAAATAATCTGTAACACCAACAACATACGATAATCCAGAATCCAGATACCGGCTTTCGCAGGCCAGTCACACGATTTCCACACATAATCTGAAGACAATACAGCATCGCGACCTCCCAGTTCTGGTCACTACCGGGCGAAATGTGCAAGGTTTCATCTATTGTCTTGCAATCGGCTGGTTGTTTGCTTCTCCTAAATGGTGAACTTGCACACAAATGGACGAAATGGACCTACCAACTTTGCAGTATGTCCCAAGACGGTAGACTTTGCGGCAACGAAGAAGACCTGAACGCCCTAGGAGACGATTACGGATATCGGTCGGGCTCCTGTCTCGTCTGCGAAAATGAATACAGAGCAAAGTCTAATTACGAAACGGCATTAGCTGCTGCTCAAAATCAATACAACTTGGTAGTTAATGCTGCATGGAGCAAAAAAATTGAGGAAGAGCAAGAAGCCAGTTATACTATAGACACGGTAATTCTAACCACTTGACATAGATTTAGTTGTACTGATCAAGTATCAATGCTAGATTCCATTCATCGAAAGACAGAAGCGACTTCGCTACCACCACTATCGCTCTCGCCGCGGCTCCTCGAGAATCTTACACGGATGAGCTAGTTTGTGTATTCTCTTGTGGGTGGTTCGATCCGACTTGATTTGTGCAGTTTATGTCGCAACCTTATTTGGAAACTTAGCTGTGGTCTTTCCTTTGAATAGGAGATAGACAGTTACGCATTTGGATCAATGACTCGTGAGTTTTGTTATTTAAAGCAGCATGGCGATGCTAAAGATATCTGTTAGCCACAAAGACCCAACTTGTTATCAGTCCGCGCTGTAGCTTAGTAACGAGGAATAGTAGGAGTTTGGGCATTCTGACTTCTTCTGAATATTGTATCTGTGACTTACACCATTTACAATACTGGCAAGCTTTATTAACTCTTGCGAGACTTTTGTGGGAAGCTTCGTTCTCTAGAATATTTCTCTTCGTTGAAGTCAGCCGCTAGAAAAACAAAATGAAGATAAGAGACGCATGAGAATACTAAAGAAAAGATGCTTTCGGGGGTAGAGCCAGAGACTCGCTGCACCAATTGATTCTTTTAGATCGTACTCGGAATATAGATTCTGACTTGTCAAAATTATTTTGTTCAATCCTTGAGCCCGCGAAGTCGCACAATTTGGTCATTTGGCATGTGCTTATTTCAATCCTTTAATAGAATCTATTCATCAGTGGTTTCGAAGGTTGATTTCATGAATTACAGTCCGATGTTGTTGCCATAGTTCCATAGGAGACATCCCAAGACGTCGCTGTCTCCCCCCACAAATTACATTGTATTGGATGACCGGTGATTCGAACTTGCGTTATACCTTCACTTATGAGCTTCGACCCATTGGAACAAGGGTTCAATACAGAACCATCCTGGAGTGCTAGTAGAATAGCGAATGCTCCAATGTCAATCTATCTGAAGTAAAAGCCGCCGAAGTGATACAAGCATGTGTTGTAAACTACAGCTCATCCTTGCAGACGCGTATGAAGTGTCTGGCAATTTAAGGAGAGACAAACAGAAACTAAGATGCTAATCAGTGACTGTCATTTGTTTTCTAACGGTGGGGTAGACGAGGAAGATCAACAAATGCGTGTGTCAGTTCATTGAAGTGAATGAAAATCAGTACTAGCATCAAAAGTTAATGACGTAGAGTCAAGAATTTATAATGAGCTCGATGTTGGGTCATCAGATCAATCATCTTCCTGTGATCTCATCAAGTTTTTCGGTTTCTACTGTCGCCAACGACTTACAGCAAAATTTGTTGTGGTTTTTTGAAAATAGGTGCTAGAAGCATATAAAGACTGATCGATCGTCTTGCACAACACCTCAGACTTTTCAAATTTTTCTGGCGATAATGTTTCATAATCTATATTCCTACACTTATTTCCCACTATCATCTTGAGCGCTCTTTTGCACAGTTCGGCGGCGTCTATTCTTTGTTATTATCAAAGTTATGGCATATCTACTTGATATTCTAGCTCCAACTACTGCATCCTCTGCTATCCAGTTCAGATACTGTTCCGTTGTCCTCGTTGAATATCAAACGTACCATTGCATTGTGGATAGTTCTTCTCATTCCACATATTGTCATCTCAAATTTGATCTTAGCTACGAAGCTCTTGGTCGCTGTAGAGCTCAGATAGATTAGTTCATCAAAACAGTAAGATGTACAATTAGCTTCGCAATTCCAATAGGAACTTCATCCTTTTATGAAGTCATCAAGTCTTTATACTTTTGTTATCTCGCGCATCCAAGTATATGATCGCGCCAACCTTGCATTGATAGTGAGTATTTTCATGATAATGTTAAAGTGCGGACTCACATAGTTTCCGCTGGATATTACCCCTGACTTAATATCGACGTTTAAGGGAAGAAGATTATCTTTTGCTTCTTACTTAATGTCAGCATGAGAATTTGATTGTTATTTCTCCAATTCTAGGCCATGAATTTGGTCCATCTTCTGCCCAATGACACCATTTGATATGAAAGACTACTTCTTATTGTTCCCCATAACTTTTGCATCACATAAACTTTAGCAAACCATAGCCATATAGATTTGAAACTTCACGTTATACACTGTATCAGGTGAGCATAGAGACGCATTGTACAGCAAATTGCTTCTTTCCTTTCTGTACATTTTATAATGATACATTACTTCAGGAAATATCATCAGATATACTTTTACTACAAGCACAAGAGCAAATAAAGACACCATAAGAAATATATTTCACTTAATCAATCATCTTAGTATCTCCAAATAGATCCTTCCTATGATCTCCACCTTGTTCAACCTACCTCTTTCCAATACCTGTGTACAGAAATTTTAGGAAATTCACTATCCTGCTATCAACCGGTTCACAAAGAACTTACTGAAATCTTTTAGTGAATTATATTCATTCAAGCCCTCGGCTATAAGATGTCTCCCACAATTTGATGCTCGAGCTTTCATGAGTTTATTGGTACAATAAACAAACAACAATTTCAATAGTTTATCTGTCGATCTTTATCTCGTTTTATCTTGTTTCTCGCTGCACTTATTTCTTCCTACTGAATTCATACCAGGAGATTTTACTCAATTTATCAAATCCACCATATCAATAATGGCACAGCTATCTGATGGCTTTCCTTCCCCAAACAACTCCTTAGAGATTGTTACCAGGACTGTTGACGAATTCATAGACAAGTTGCAAGTAACTTGGGCTGTCAACGCTGCAAAGGGACTTGTTGGTAGGTGAAACATTCCATGAAAGACTTGCCTATTTGTTACCTAAGCAGAGCTTGTTTATTTTGATTTGTTTCGCATAGCTAACATTTCCAAGAACTCAAGGCTGGTTCTCTGCTCTGCCGAGAAATAGAACTCGCACTTCTCCGTGTCATCGCTCAAACCGTCTCCCCCGAAAGTGTTTACGTCCGAATCGGCAATGAATTGAACCTTTTCGATCGACCTGCCTATCGCGCAGCCAATCCCCTTTTCCACACTATCTTGCTCTGCTGCTACCAAATGATGCAAGGATGGGCCGACGAAGGATGGTTTGAAAATCTTCCAACGATTGAACAGAGTTTGCGGGACGTAGTTCACATGGATGCGCGAAGACTTTCTGGTACCTTTGGTATGCGGGTTGATCATTACTTCTTGGTTTGGAAGTGCGCAGTACAGCTGCTAATCTCTCTTTAGGACTGTCAACACCGATGGATCTCGAGCTGTATCGAAGTCTGGAACACACAATGTATACTGATCATTGTTTGAGAATGCGTATTGATACCCAAGTCGAGATATTAGAGGGGATTATTGCGAGGTTGAAGGTTGGGGAGAGTAATTATGACTAAAATAATGACGTTGAGATGAGGAATCGAGCAGGAAATGATAAAGTCTAATGTTACTTAGATATTATGATACTTGTATTTGATCTGGAAAGAGACTATGGACTCTGGATATGGATCGCCGAGTAGCTCCTCCGCGGTTTTATGAATGAAAACATATGTTCATCGACACATTGATACGTCTTTAGCGGTAATAAATTTACCAGAAATGACATTCAATGCATAGTGCTCTGCTAAACATCGGACTATACTGTGGAAATCTGATCGCATTACAGAAGAGAATCTGAATACCAAGACCACAATTATCAAGCAGACTCAAAATCAACAATAGGAAATTGCGTTAACCAAAAAGAAAACTCCCAGCAAAAGTAACAGCATCGGAAGCATTAACTCGAAGAACCAAAATAAACCACATCTAGTCTGCACTCTAGAACCCCATTTCGAAGCTAACGTCCTTATCTCTTATCCAGACAAGCAACAGATCCCAAATTTCCCCCCTAAACAACACTAAAACTATGCTAACCAATTAAGCGAGCTTCTGAAGTGTACCTCATGGCTTCTAGATCATCGTTCTAAAGCTAAGTACTCTTATCTCTTATCCAGATATGCAACAAATCTTGTATCTACCACTTTAGAGTTCTTGGAAAGGGACTACACACTTGATAAGGGTCTGATCGTGGGACGAACTAGAGATTTATCGTAGAGAGCCTGGTGTAACGTACGCAGCAGCTTCTGGGAAATCAGTCACGGTAGTAGTATTGAGAACAAAATTCAAGCATGTTTCCACTAACATCGACCAAGAAGTGATGTTCTCAAAATATCAATGCTCAGATTATAAAATTAGAGCTTCGTGCTATACATGGTAGATATATAGTGCGCGTACCTAAGTGTTCATGGTGAATAAAAATGAGTCATCATGATGCGAATCACTTTTAAAATATTTTCCAGAAAACGAGGGAGAGAGACTCTATCTAGAGGGCCAAATTTTTAAATCTAATGCAGAGGTCTTTCTCCAAAAGTTATCCAATTACTTAGTAACGCTGAAAACTATCAACGATGCAGCCTTGGTTTCTTAAAATGAGTCTAATACAAGGGGTCTTTCAAGGCCTATTATCTATCTATCCTAACCAGTCTATCGACATGAAAAATTATCGTGAAAAAGTAGGATGCAAAGAAAAGGAATTTTCAGTGGTATCTTATATTTGATTTGTTATTACGCATTTTGGTTTCATCGGAGGTGCCCATGTTATCCCCGCTCGTGAGCCGGATACATTCATTATCTCATCAATGCTAGCGCAAATTCAACGACCCTGACTAAATCCAGCCATCCAAATGCCAGCACTATCCACGTCTGATCATTAACACAGGACGAGACAGGCTTGACTGGCGTCATGAGTCTCTTTTGTAAATTCAATCCTCGGAAGCCCTCACTTCCTCAATTCCCTCCAGCACTGCTTCCGCCAATGCCCAATTCCTTAACCTTATCCACCAAGCCCTCTCCCTCCGCAACTTCCACGACCTCAACTCCCTCTTCCCCCTCTCCGCTCTCCCCCTCATCCCCTGCAATTCCCTCCTCGAGCCCTTCACCTCCCTCCTTCAAAACCCATTCCACAACTTCAGTCTTATCTGCCAGTTCTGCCTCATAGACCGCATCATGTCCCTTCTGATTTTGAATCGTTGGATCTGCTCCATTTTCTATTAAAACTTTGACTGCTTCTAAATGTCCATTCAGGGCTGCCCAATGTAAAGGTGTGTTTCCAGAGGCGTTTTGTGTGTTGAGTATCTCGAGCATTTTGGGGGTTTGAGGAGAGGGATTAGAGAGGTGTTTTGCGAGGAGGGCGAGAAGTTCTGTTTGTGAGTTAGTCGGATTGGGGGTCCAATTTTGGGAATGGGCGGATTGCGACTGGATAAAGGAGGGAAATACCGTGATGGCCATTGGCGGCAGACATATGTAACACGCCGTTTCCACTCTCACTGTCTCTGGCACTCTCCAACAACTCAGTTGCTGAGCATCCTTCCCTCTTACATAATTCCTCTCTTAAAGTCTCGAATTCGTCTTTCTCCCCAACCCGAGCCAAATAAATCAAATCGTCGATTTCGTCTTCTGAAAATTTGGGTGCCATGTTTCGTTATTGTTCTCAATCGTAGTATTTATTTCCCAGTCAATAATGATTTCCAGTTCTTATTCGTGGTATTTCTTCCTTAAGATTATGAGTAAACTTTTGTAAAATATAAAATACAATGAGGGGTCAATCCAAGCGGCCGCATCAACATGGAAAAAAATGAATTTTCGACATGTAGTCGGCCAAAGAATAATCCGATAAATCTGGGGGCGCTTATCGCGCCTTATCATAATCCCTGCGCATAACTTCAATTATTACACGTGCTAGCCCCTGATACGCATCCCTGAAAGACATCTCACCGGTGTGAGATTCACTCATCCTTCCTTCCAAACCTCATTTGCATTAATTCATTTCCTTTTCTTTTTCAATATAAACTCACATCTGAATCTCCTTTCCTCTTCTCCTTCTTTGTGTTTGTCAAAAACAGAAAAAATCATTGGATTTGCAAGATCAACAGGAAAGAGTATTAACCATGCCTCGACCACGTCTTAATGCCTTCGACTCAAGCGAGCCACTTCTCCGAACTACCAATGCTGCCAACGCAGCACGTAGACATATCACGGGATTTTGGGAAGGATTTGTCGATTTTGCTTTCAATGACAATGTGCTTCATGTTGCTATTGGTTTGATGTAAGTTTCTCTCTCTCCTCGGCCACTCCGTGCACTTACGACCTTTTCCAATCCCTACACGTGACACTTCCTCGAACAATCACTTACAAAAAACAGAATAGCGCAATCTTTTACAGCTCTTATAACCTCACTCGTCTCTTCTGTTCTCCTCCCACCACTATCTCTCCTCCCTTTCCTAAATAAAAACCTCGAAGAGAAATTTGCGGTTCTGAGGCCCGGTCCTCATTATGATGGTATGCTTCATAACCACACCGAGATCGGTGATGGAATAGGAGAGGGAGTGGAAGGAAACGCAACTATGGTTGTAAATATGGGAATGGAATTTTTGTATGGGGCAGGGTATAATACCTTGAAGCAGGCGATAGATGACGGAGCTATTGTTTTGGCTTGGGGGTAGGTTTTGGTTTCTTTATATACTCCTTTCTTAGCATCTACTTTTCTTTTGCCTTTTTATTCCATCTCGTTGTTCTCATATTCCTCCTATCCTTATATCTCCAACAATTTTTCTCTCCATTTCCACTCAGACCCGCAATAAATTCACAAACTGACAACCTCTCAAGTTCCTTCCTAAACAAAGTGATAAACTTCATAGGCGTTGGTCTCGCTCTCTACAGCATAGCAGGTCTTTACCAATATTTCAGTCAGGATAACGCTATTATCAAGCATACCGTCCGTTGTAGATATTGTCGCAAGAAGATTTTTGAGAAGGTATGTGGTTTTCTCCCCCCCCTCTTTCTCCTTTTGTTCTCCCTCCATTTCTCTTTCACGAATTCTTGTCCTCTTATTTTAACCATTCCCACTTACGGTTCCTCTTCCCTATCACTATTTTCAATCACCCGTCAATCAGTCCCCAATCCCATAATTAAAGTAGCCCCGCTCACAATTAACAACCCTAGGCACAACGCTGCGTATTCTGTACCTCCTGGCAAGATGGTCGTGAAGATCTTCGTCCCGCTGCAGCTACTATCGGATGATTTCTCTTCTTATGCTTCTCCATTATAATCCCGTTCTCTTCTTGCTCCTATAACCTACTCTCTCCTGCGCTCTACAAACTTTCACTCAACCTCCACACACCATGTACACAACTGACTATACGATTATACAACTACACGACTTTACATCTACATAAACTGAGTTGCCTAACGAAATCAATGCGTCACACCAACAATCAGAATGAAAATCAAATAAAATAAAACCTCAATACACGATACACCATACACAATACACCATACACAATACACTATACACAATACACCATACACAATACACCATACACAGTACACCATATACACTATTTCAAAATAGAGGCAAACCATGGATTTGTAATATTACATGTGTATACATGTACCTACCTACATGGCTACACAACCACATCCATACATACAAACATACAATACATACTCAAATCACAGCAAGGAGTTCAGGGAAACAAATTGACCGTTACCATACCCATAACCACAAGCCACGGTGTTAAGCGAAGGCATTGCTAGGAGAGGGCGTTCTTGAATTGGAATTCGAACTCGAGTTTTCTTTTATTTCTGGGGTATGGGGCCTGGAGTTTGGGGTTCGACTTTCGGTTTGCCTTTAAAGTTCAATTTGGGTAGATTTTATTTGGTTTGCCGATGTTCGTTCGTTTGTTCAAAATTCTTTCATAGCGAGGAGTTCTAGCTTTCTATTTCATGCTTGATTTGGAAATTGTTTTTTTGACGCTGGATGGAAATTGGGAGAGTAAAAAAAGAATAGAAAATGATGATAAAATTTTTTTAGATTTTAGTTTCGAATTGATGCGATCCCAAGAATAAATTGTCATGTCTTGTTGTACTTATATTGTTGTACAAATGATATTGTAATGATTGGCGACTTTCAATATTTCATGAAGGTAACCCTTTTAAGGTAATTCCACAACTCAAGAGAACTTAGCTATTTTCAGGTCTTCCAAATGGATATCGATTCAGTTCGATTTATCAATTCCTATCCTCATCCTAATCCTAAATCCTCCCTTTAATTCTCCACCCTTCTTCATCGGTGCTAAATGACAACTACAATTCTGTCTTCCCACCCTCCACAAACTCCACCTCCCAATCCTCTCCAATGGCTACCTTTGGCGCTCTAACCGTCGCCCAAGCAGCTTTATTTCCTTCACCAGCATGATACGTGATCTCAGCCGTTGTGCTACCCACCTTTACACTCTTCAGTTCACTCCACTCCTTTGGCGCACCAACAACAAGAATCTTCTCCACGCCTACTTTCTTCATACTCTTCAGATATTTATCTGTCAACTTGCCCTTTGTTCCGATATCCTTACTGCTCAATACCCCGTTTTCAAAGGAGAAAGAGCGGTGGATATAGGCCCCAGATTGATAATCAAAAGTCTCACCATCATCTACATATAATTCTCCAGTTGCCTTTCCTTCTTTATCGAGGACGAGAACAAGAGTATATGGATCCCATCTCATAAGACCCGAACTCCTGCGGGGACGATCCTTGCGAGGGATAATATGGCCACCTTGCATAAGTAGAGGTATTTTCTCAAGAGGAGCTGCGATTGTAGTTTTGCCCGCGCCCGTATAGATGGTATAGTCGAAGTAATCGTAGTAAACTTCGCTATTAGGTATATAGATCTCGACGCTATCGGCACCTTCTGTAACGACTGGCTTAGCCAACAAACCGGTACTACCGACGAAAAATTGATCATCGATCGCAAATCCGGATTCGTCTTCTGGATATTCAAAGTAATGTGGTCGAATAATGGGTGTCCCGTCTGTACTGGCTTCATGGAAAGCGGTGTACCAAGCAGGGAGAAGAGAGTAACGGAGACGGAGAGCTTGAGTTATAATATCCGTGTATGGATCACCGATAAGATAAGGTTCACGTCTTCTAGTATCAATATGTGCATGTCCACGGAAGAAGGGGTAGAAAGCACCAGCTTGATACCAACGAGTAAGAAGATCCTTTTCAGGGTTACCAAAGAATCCACCAACATCTGCACCAGCGAATGGGAAACCTGCAATACCATTGTTGAGAATCATAGGGAACGCAGCCGCAAGATGATCCCAGCTAGCTTGGTTATCACCAGTCCACATGGCTCCCATGCGTTGACTTCCAGCATAGAAAGATCGAGTGAGAATAAACGGACGGCGAAGTTCACCTTTCTTGCGCTCGACCATTGCTTCATAGGTTGCGTTGACAAAGGTCAAACCGTTGACATTGTGAACATCACGGTGTTCCCAGTTTCCGAAATGTAAGTTATCCTTGGGCATAGTTGTTTCTGGCCCATTGAAAACCGATGGCTCATTCATGTCATTCCAGAGGAAGAGGTTAGGTGTATCAAAGGCAGAAGTCTTAAAGAGACTCTTCCACCATTTGATTGCTGCAGGATTGAATGCGTCAACCCAGTGGGAAGATCCTGGCCAACACCAACCTTCATAGATACTGCCCTCCTTGTTATGAACAGCCAAGTCCTTACTCTTTAATTCATCAACAACCTTATAATTAGCTTCATTCTTAATGTGAGGATCGATGATTGCAACAAGCTTTCGATCGGATTTATCCAAGTGTGACAACATGTCAACGTGGTTTCCGAAAGTGTGAGGATCCCAAGTAAAATATTTCTTTCCATCGGTATACTCGATGTCAAGCCAAATAACATCATATGGGATTTGGAATTTGTCGAACTTTCTGTCAACATCCTTCACATCCTCATCGGTAACATAATTCCATCGACATTGGTGGTAGCCAATGGAGAATTCTTGAGGAAGCTGTGTGAAGCCTGTGAGCTCTCCATATGCTTTTGTAACATCCTTTGGTGTTGGTCCAAGGAAGACAAACACATCAATTAAACCACTCTCCGAGAACCAATGAGTTTTTGTATCAGTTTTTCCACTCAAAGGATTCATGGATGCTTTCTCCTTGATAATATCAATCCAAGTCTCGGCTGCGTTCAGCCAAAAAACACCAACGGTTGACGCTGCTCGATGTGCTTGCATGAAAGGAATGGCTCCGTATAGAGTCATTTCACTATCCATAATGTACTCGAAAACATCAGCGTTGTATAAACGGTATGGATCTTTATGATTGCCCTCTCCACCTCGGGTTTGCTTCAATGACAAAGGTCCAGCATGTTCTGGAATACCAAAGACATGTTCATATCCGGGGAAGGTAATGTCAAGAGAAACACTCTCAGGACCCTTAGGTTTTGAGTCGGTATTTCCACCAAAAGATTCCTCCCACCACGTGGACTCATCTTCGCCGGCTTGAACTTCGGCTGATTCTTCTTCGCCTTCTTTCTTTTCTGGCTTCTCAATCTTCGGTCTCCAATGTTCCATGTTCATCAATCCCCGTTCATTAAACTTAATTTGTATCTCGTCATCCCTCTTGAAATCGATTGCAAATGGAGCATGTGTAACTTCCGCCTTGAACTTGCCATCTGGGCCAAATGTAATGTGCGAAACTCCAGGGTACTTCTTATACTCTGCATCTTTACTCAAAGTTAACCCTCCTACAATTGCCCAGTTTGCGGCCTCATTATAACGTTCCTTTCTAGCTTTACTGCCATGTCTCAATTCAATCTCGCCCGTTTGACGTTTTTCTTCATCAATCGTAACTCTCGCAGATCCCGATTCGAGGAACGAAATGGTAATCGGTAACCTGACCGACTCCCCTCCAGTCAATTTCTTGAGGATGGTTCCTTGTAGCTGACCATCCTTCCACGTCAAGGTCTCTGAAGCCAGTCGATAAGGAGCTTGTAAGCTCCAATTATCTCCCACTGCTGTTGCTTGATCCGCATATGCTCGATTTCGTTTGCAGAATCCCGATTGATCGCATGTTTTGAAATTCTCATGCTTAACAGATACTATTTAGGTCGTTAGTGAATTCTACACAGAGAGCTGTTGTTGGCATCCTCACCAGCTGGTGTAATCAAGCTGCCAAATGTTGATAACAAAACTAAATATCCTGTCCATTGTGAGGACAGATTTAATGGCGACTTCATGATTGAAAAGACATGCAATATTTAGCAATTGCACTTAATTCAGATGAAATCAAGTTGCTAAATAGCTAGATATATGAACAAATGGCTTGTACAACAGAACCATAAAGAATTGAAGTCTTGCGTTGGGGGGGGGTTGAGGTTTCCAAGCTGTCCTATTCTCCTTCACCAATGACGATCAAAGCTCAGCTCCCCAGTCATACCTATACCTATAGCATAACATGTGCATAAAGTTTTATTGGTGATACCATGGCCCACGAACCATGATAGAAATTTATGCGAGTTACATAAAAGTACCCTTCCACATAGAGTTACCTCACATCTAAGGCTTCATCAGCAAAGAAAGGGTACCCTTCCGCCCCTCCTACCAAACCCCACCAAGGAAAACCCCACTAACAACACACCTCAACCTAAAAGAATTTAAAATATGAGTGAAGCCCCCGAATCGATCTTAAAGCACGTCAATCCTAAAACTCAAGCACTCTTAAGAGCATCAGCAAAACACCGAGAAGAATCTGCCAGATCAAACGACGATACCATGTCTACCGAACAAACGTAAGTCCCTTATTCTATCTATCTATTCTTATGAGAGGGTTGTTTTCTTTACTCTTGGACAAGAATTACCCCACGTCAACAAAGTATTAGCGGTGTATACTAACGTCTTTGTGTCGAATAGCTTCATTGCCATCAAGCCAGATGGTGTCCAAGTATGCAAATACCATTCTACATAGAGAGAAGAGGATGAGAGAATACTGATTGATGTTGAATTCAGCGTGGACTCGTTGGCCCAATCATCAGCCGATTTGAGGCTCGTGGGTAGGTTGACATGTTGCAAAGAATATTTGAGCTTTGTTGACATGAGGAATAGTTACAAGCTTGCTGCCATCAAGCTCACCACCCCAGGAAAGGACCACCTCGAGCAGCACTGTAAGCATTTGAAGAAATAGATGTTATAAGACTGTAGAGACTAACACCTTTTGCAGACGCTGATCTCTCCGACAAGCCATTCTTCGCTGGTCTCGTCAACTGTACGTATCTGCCATTTTGAGCACACCAAACACCAAACACCTATCTAACTATCTCTAGACATGAACTCTGGCCCAATTTGCGCCATGGTCTGGGAAGGACGTGATGCCGTCAAGACCGGCCGTAGTAAGTACCCCTTTGTCTTGCTTATCCCATCAACCGCCATCTAATTCTTTCTCTTTAGCCCTCCTCGGTGCCACCAACCCATTGGCATCTGCCCCAGGTACCATCCGTGGTGACTACGCCATCGATGTCGGACGCAACGTCTGCCACGGTTCCGACTCCGTCGAGAACGCCAAGAAGGAGATTGCTCTCTGGTTCAAGGAGGGTGAGGTTCTCTCATGGAAATCCGCTCAACACGACTGGGTCTACGAGAAGTAGATTAGATGTAATGTTCTGTCATTTACTTCAACAACAAACAATTAGCTCCAAATATCATATCTGAAGATTGTTTCTGATGATGGTGGGTAGACACATACATGAATAAAAAGTCAATCAACCTCAAGCTATGTATATTTACATTGAAGATTGGGTTTCGTGAATGTTTGTGCCATCTTTCCCGTTCCACGTTGAAGTCGTATCTTGAATTCCCGACCAGCTTTATCATCGAATGTACCCGAACGCAAATACACATCTCCCTCTAACCATACATATCCCATCCCATGATCTATATAGTACATCTCACTTACTACCTCCCCTTCCTAGTCTCCCAATTATCCCCATGACACCTGCAAACCAAGGCGCGCCCCAAACAGAAACCAATATTCTCACAGGTAATAACACCTTCGTGATCACATACGCCGTCGCAACTTCTAGCACTATCCTCTTCCCACTCGTGTTACTATCTCCTCCCATTCCCCTAATCAATCCTTCACCCAGTTCTAAGTTCTTTCCCCCATCCCTCTCATCAACCTCATCCACCCTAGACCCCGCAGTATACCCAAACCATCCTCTCCTGCCAAACCACCTCTCAAACATCCCTTTCGCCTTCTCCACTTTCTCCTCCGGTATCAAATCCGAAGGCAACCATCCTGAATAATGAAAACCGCTCGCCAGAAGCAGAATAGGTACAATAGCAGTAATCTCATGCAGAATCAAAAACGAAATAATATACGTCTTCGGCGCATCGAGTAGTGGAGCTGTGTATGGATGGAGAAATTTAGGCAAGCGGAGTTGTAGTGTTCGTAAACGGTTCTGTAGACGAGAACGCGAGGAAGAGAAGGAGGTTGCGGATATGGGGACGGCTTGTTTGGGGGGTGAAAGGAGAGGAGGCCTGGAGGAGAAGAAACGTTGGGGATTTCGGATGGAGTTGGTTTTGGTTTTGGAGGGGTGGCGGGGAAGAGAGGAGGTGAAGAAATTTTTGGGGGTGGATGGGAGGGAGGTGAGGCGGAGACAAAAGATCGGAGGGGTGGACATTACATTGTTTGATTGGGTTGTGTTGGGGGTGAGTAGAGAGAAGATGTATTTGTTCGAGTTTGGAGATTCAAATGTTCATTTAAGCTGTCGAGGCTAGCTTTAGAGCTTGGATTTAAGGTTGTGCTTAATTAGTGTGGGTTTGTAGGGGCCGTGCGTAGGTACTGATGTCATGGTTGATTGATAGCTAGACGAACCTACCTTGGTTTGTTCGTGTAAGTCGGGTACTCTACTTTCGGACTACCCCTGTTTTGGGCTACTCTTTATTATTAAAAATCTCAAAAAATAGAATTTTTAACTTTCTTATTTATAAATAGAATTTATTGAAAATTTGTATATATATAATACAGATTGTTTTAAATCTAATTTGAAATTTTTAGATTTTTAGGATTTTTTTGTATTGAGATTTAAAGCTTTAAAATGTCGATTTTTTAATTTATATAAGAATCACATATAAATTTAGAACTCTTATAAAATCTTTAATAACTTTTTAAAAAAATTATTAAAAGAAAATTATATTATTTTTTAAAATTTTTGAGTTTAAATCTATATTAAAATTCAGAAAAAAATTAAAAAAAAATTAACAAATATAAAGATATAGTATAACGTAGTTTATTAGTGGATTGGCTATATCAATAAATCAGCTATTTTTATCTCAAATTATTACTTCAAAGCTATATTGTTTAATAACAACTAAATTAATTAATTAAAATTATTAAGAATTTAATAATCTGGGATTTATTATATTATTTTAATAAATTCTTGTATTATAATCTATCTTTTTGTATTTACTACAACATTAATTAGAAGATGCTTTTCTATTAAAATTCCTTTCTTTTTAATGTTTATTGTATTAAATCTGAATATCAATTTTTTACTAAGATAATATATCAAAAGTCTTTGATTTAATAAGCATTCCTCCTTAATATAATTAGGTTTTTTTTATATCTTAATATTTACTTAATATTTCATTTACTATTCGAAATATATAATTCTTTATATTTAAAAGTATATTTTTATAAGCTAATATTTTTATATCTTTAATTAAAATTAGTATAATCTCAAATATAGATATAGAGAAACTTGCTTGATAATAAGTTATTCGAGATTTAATTAATATTAATTGAGAAAGAGCTTTAATTGAATTACAAGGGGTTTGAGAGATTTATTAATCTAGATCGAAAAAGGGGAGGGTAAGTATATGAATTCGAATATCTAATTTCGAGAGTACAGTTTCAGAATTGAATAGAATTAAATCTATTCCTTGAAATTTTGATTTTATATTTTAAAAGGTAATTGATTCCTTATATATAATTTTAAAAGCTATAAAGAATTCAATCTTTGAAATATGATTAATATATACCTTAATAAATCTATCAATTTGATTACCATATAAACATTTTAGATTATTAAAATAGTTAATATTAAATAGTTAAGTTAAATAACTTAAATATAATAATAAATATAAATATATAATATCATTCTCTTTATAGTATACTTAAAAAGCTATTGATTTATAATTTTTATATTTATTTAGTATTAACATTTGATATTTGCCCTTTTTTTGATTCTTAATATACTTATTAAAGTGTTTCAATTATTCTAAATCTATCTCATTATTTGTTCACCTATTAGATATAAGTTTAATAGTCTATTCTATAAAAAGATTGATTTTAATATAACATAACTTATAATGAACCGGGTTATATAGGGAACCGGGTCACATTTAGCCTATCACTGACTTCAAACCCCAATAAATTTTGCTATATATACCAAATCATCTTTTACATCTTCTTAAATTGAAGAGAAGATATAGAATACTATTATTACACTTTAATTAAAGGAATTTAAATTAATTAAAAAGGCTACAAAGTATTTTGAAGTTCCTAAATCAACTCTTATAGTTAGAATCGCCGGAAGAAAATTATATATTCAATTCCACAAAATGATTCAAATTCTTTCAAATATAAAAGAAAATACTTTTGTATAATGAATTTCATAACTTATTATCACTAAATTCTCTATTATATTTATATTAATAAAGGAAATAACTAACGAAATTCGTCTTCAATATATTTAGATTATATCATTTCGAATTCCTATTTTAATAAAAATTCCATTTATAAACTACAAATAAATCTATAAATTCCAAAAACGATATCCAGAATTTAAGATATATTACTCATATTAATTAAAGTTTAATTAGATTAAAGAAATAATACTAAAGAATATTCAGACTTGATTTAATATATTTCGTATATATTTTATTAAACAAAAGTATGAATTAAATGATATGTATAATATAAATGAAACCAGATTTAGAATTGAAAGTACTCAAAGTATACATATTATAATCAATTCTACTTAGAAACCAAATTAAAAAGTTATAGCTAATAAATAAGAATGAATAACTATATTTGAATATATTAATATAGCTAAAAAAGACTCTATTATCTATAGTCATTTTCAAGACTCAGAATACAAATTCTGTATAAATTCTAAAGAATATACCTCAAAGCTAGTAGTTCTTTATTAATACAAATAAATAGACTTTAAACAATTATAAATTAGAATAGCTAAAAAGAGTTTTCAAACTAAAATTCAAGAAAGTGTTAAATAATCGATCTCGACTTTTGATTATAAATGGTTATTTAAGTTATATTACAAGTAGCTTTATTACTTTCTATATAAAAAAAATATCGATTTATTTATATTACCTTTTTATTACTCCCATTTACTTCAATCATTTGATATTATAATATATGGATCAATAAAATAATATTATTCTTTAAAGGTTGATTAATATTCTCGAGCTAATATAAAACAAATTCAAAAAACTAAATAAATAGAATTCTTTTAAAATATTAGAAAAAAAATATCAAATTCTTTTAATATTAAAACTAATTGGAAAGGAGCTAATTTAGTACCTTTTGCCCTACAAAAAGTATTCGATTTATTATTATTTAACTTTTCCTAGCAATCTTTCACTTTATAAATGAGAACCTTCAATTAAGATTTAAATTTATCTATACTTAGAAGCTTTTTTCCAAATGGGACAAAGCTAAGACAAGTAAATCAAATCTTTAATAAAGCTTTAGTAGATAATGATTCTTTTATATTACTAACTTGTCAATATATCAAAAGAATAATTAAATTTGTAGAATCTTAAAATACTGAGATAACTCTATTTCGAAAATAGCTTATTAATATTCAGAAAGTAATTGAAACTTGAAAGAAGAAAACTAAAAACAAAAGAATCAAATTACAAGGTCAATTTATCTTTAGTAATAAAAAAGTACTGAAAATGGTATATAAAGTAGAGAAAAAACCTAAGGAGAAAAAGCTACAAGAACAACTATATAAACATCTAATTAAAGAATTAGAAGAGAAGACTAAAGAAAAAGAGTTAGAAAATAATTCAAATAATTTAGAGTTAGAATTAGATGAATATGTAGCTCGTAGAACAAGATTATATAAAGAGAATTGAATTTTGTAACCCAGTTCCCCATATGACCCGATTCACCATAAGTTACGTTACCAATTAAAAAGATGAACCTATTCCTAGACCATTAAAAATAAGAAAATAGTTTCACCCTCTTCATTTTTATATATTATTGCTATAGCTTATTCTCGGTTGCTTGGCTATATAGATTTACTTTTACTACATCTCTGTTACGGGAGCTGCCTCTAGGGTCACGTGGAAGTGTCTAGAGATCTCTCGAGGTGGTTTAGACTAGACTTCAAGTAGGAATTCAATAAGGTTGTAACTGGTTGCAATTCTCGTAACTATAGTAATGAAACTAATGATTGATCTTGAGCACGAAGCTCTACACTGTAATGAAACCCATTCCTTTATATAGACCTTCGTTCTCTGTGCTCAGTCGGATCACAAATGATCCCTCTGATCCGATCAACTGGATCACTAATGATCCCTCTGATCCGGTTACCTAAGCGTCGGGGTCACGTGACGTCTATTGTGGCAGACCATCGTAACACTATCCCCTTCCTAGCTTAGCGCTTGTCCCCAAGCGTTACTTATAGTGTTTACCCCACTTCTTGTAATAATGTAATGACTGATTTCTTTCTTTCATAATGCCTGTTGTTAGGACTCCCAAATCAACTGAAAATCGTGCTTGCTTGTATACCAAATTCAAAGAAAGAGGTTTTATTATGGATGATCCTTGTGCTCGTTGTTCTTCCCGCAAACTTGAATGTCGTGTTTTGTCAGAGTCTCGTCGTTGTGGTGAGTGTGTTAAAGCTGGTCTGAAGTGTGACCTTCTTCCTCCCACTGTCTCGGATTGGGATGCTTTGGAGCGCGAGGAACAACGTCTGGAAACGGAGCGCCGTGCTACTCTTTCTAAATTGATTCGCCTCGACACTCAGCAACGATCCCTTCGTGACCGTGCTGGTGCCATGTTGCGTCGTGGTCTGAAAACCTTGGATGAGCTGGATGCAGCTGAGGAAAAGGATAGGTTGGAAAATGAACGTGTTGAAAAGGAGCGGGAACAAGCATCTGTTTCGACTGCTGATCCTAGCGACGACTCCTTTGCTTTCGATTCTTCTTCTTTGGATCCTTCGATCCTTGCCTCAATGGATTCTCCTTCTTTCTGGGCAAATCCGGGTATTGCTGGTGGAACGCCTCCAACTTCCCAGGGCAGTTGAGGTTTGTTCTTGGTTCCCATGAATTCTCGGTATGTGGATAATCTAACCATTTGATTAAATACTTGATTGTGCCTCTGACGTACTTGCAATCTAGTATTGTTTCGACATCGTATATGGCGTTCGGGTTAACTGGTTCGATTTCCGTAAATGGCGCACTTGGCGCTCCTGGTGGTGCTGGTTCGAGTAAGGATATGTGAAACACTGGGTGAATATTCATCGTGTCTGGTAGTTTCAACCGATAATTAACGGCTCCTATTACCTTATCAATCTTGAATGGTCCTAGTTTTCTGTGATCTAGTTTATTGCTTGGTCTTTTGGTTTCGATGTTTCGTCGTAGCAGA